GGAACGTTTGCGTTTATGCACAGTATGCGTATTCAAAAAAGTCTTCCGTTCACATGCATTCGTTTCATTTAACGTGTCTGTTCAAACGAGACCGCTGGAAACGCTGTAGTACATATGCCGGGACTGTAAGTGGCGCTGTAACTTCCGCCATAAAATACACCAAAAGCCACGAAGAAGACTCCGGAGCAGCCCCGCAGCAATGTTGCCATGGCTACCCTTCTGTTTATGCCCCGCGGTGGATTTAGCAACATGTAGTTCATGTAATTCTCCATGTCCACTTGTTGCTGATGGTTGTGGTAGAGGAGCTGTAGATTTTGCACTAATATCTGTAGCATGGTCAGTAGCAGTAGCACTAGCTACTGACAGGAGGAAGTGTGTGTGGCGATTGCTGGTATTCAGCGGGATATAGTAATTTCCTCAGCATGTAAATATATGGATAAATGCAACGGGGAAGTTAACTGAAAGAAACCGAATCTGTGGATATTGCATCGACCGACCAAGAAGCACGTCTCCGTGGAGAGGACGCGCTCAGAAAGAAAGATATTCTCTACAAACACCGGGTGAGATCGCTCCTCTGGGACACGCCGGTCCTCGTGTTTCCTTTTTTTGTGTGGATTATAAACATTTCTCTTTTTGCCGCCGACGGGCGCAGGAGCAATGAACAATAATGGCCTGGATTAGGCAGTAAAGACAATTTTGGTGTATCGCAGAGCGGACTGTTTAATTTTGTTTGTGTTGTTTGGCTGGAAAATTGTCAATATAATGGATCAATGCATGAAATCTGTTTATTTTGTTTAAGGAGTATATTGGGCGTTAACAATTCTGGTTTGCCTTTTATAATATTATTTCATTCAAGAACCCCTTGTGCGTTTAATTAACACAGCTATTTTTGATAGTTGATCATTACAGATGGCTACTGCCATGCTACAGCAGTGAGCAGGGGAGAGGTGGGGAGAGGTGGGGCTAGGAAATATGCGTATAGAGGTGATTACACGGACTCGGTTGACCCCCCAGAGCGTTTCGTTTGCAAATCTATCCACCTTGGGACCCGTTATCGTTTGTGGGGTCCGTTTCTATCGGCCTCGTGTAAATAATAGGGCTATACGCACGCGAAACTATGCAGATACAAGCAGTTTTCTCCTTGTGTAAACGGCGCCTAAGTATGGAGCTGACAGTACTGGGTAAGAACGCAGCTTTATTTAAGGACATTTTTCAATGCCTTTTGTAAAAACATCTGTTTAAACCAGACTGAATAAACAAACCATAAATACAGCGACTTCTACAGAAAGCTCAAGTAAAAAGGCTACAAACTGGTCAAATGAAAAACAAGATAATAAACTATTATGAACATTGGTAAAGACTGTTGTTTCGGTTTATAAACAGGATCTCGTATGACTCACGAAAACCGGGATGTCTCTTCCTCATTTGCTACAATAAGGGCCTGTGTCCTCATAGCGCCTTTTTCTGGCAGAAAGGCACTGGCAAGTCGCAAACTAGCATTGCTCCCTTGGAATATGTTATATGTTCTACTATCTATTTGTTTGACATTGTATTTTTCATCATGAGCACCAACCAGAGGATGCATGCTCTTACGCCTGTCATGACTTGATCTGACATCCAAAGGGAGGAGGACGATATAAATCACGCTCACTCTAGCCGTTCTGCTCTAGCTAATATGCTGTTTGGTCTTTGTTATTATAGTTTCCAACTCAAAGACACATTCAAAAACGTTCCCTCTAATTTCTACAATGACGTCACTGGTCACTTGATATATTTTTTACTCAAAGTGCTCAAAATAGCCACACAAAAATGGTGGGGAAGCGCTTTTTCTCAAGGCGGCCGAATGCGCAAGATTGTAACAGAGAAGGATCAGGATGCAGTACATGGTGTGTGTTTTTGTGTGTATCTGCTTGACATGATTGACTATTGATTAGACAGGCTAAGCCACCTGATACCTAAGGAAGCCTAAGCGTGAGCATGTTACAGAGAGACAGAGAAAGAGCAGTGTCTCACATTGATGAGTAACAATCAATGGAGACTCTACAGAATATAAAATACAAAGGGGAATGATGGGATGCGTGAACTGTAGTAGTCACATTACAGTATACGAAAAATAATCTCTGTAACATGTTCCAGATACACTGGCAACACAATTACACTTTCCTATTAAAACACTGGGGCAAATGTGTCAGACTTTTGATCTCTTCTGCTATCTGGCAGTTCAGACTGTGGCCATTTTGTAGACATTTGACATTTTAATAATAACATGTGTTCATGCTGGTGGGAGTATAAAAGGGTAAGAGCTTTATATATATATGATATAGCCCAGCGCAACACCTTTTCAGGCGATTTGTAGAAAATCTGTTCTAGAAAAACGATGTGTTTTTTAGGATTTCAAGAAGCATATAGAACAAACAATGGATGTATTTTATGAACATTTATCCATGCTGAAAGTAGATTTAGATGTGTTAGGAGTGAGATAGAGATTATTATCTAATATATACATCCGATGAAGCATTGCATGAAGTCTGTTGATGATCAGAGGCTGTTGTTGGGGCTGCATAAACGTTTTTTTATTTTTTGTTTTGTAGGCAGACCATGCAGGCCTCAGAGTTAAACTTGGGCCTGCGACCATAGTTTTACTGTATTTTGTTTTGAAAATCCACAGCGGAGGTTTGTTTCGTACTACATGCGGTGTATTTTGCATATCTCTCAGTAGCCAACGATCTGTGAGTCTGTTGGTTCGGACATAAACTCCGTAATAAATGTAGTCTACATTTCATAAGAGGTGTAAAACCTGAGAGCATTTAAAATCGCATTTGAACTAAATGCTTATATAATCTGTAGTTGTATTTGTGTTGTTGATTTATTGTGTGAACGAGGCGATGTAGAGAAGGTTAAGCTGTCATTATTAGGCTGTTATGTACTGTTGGAGTGGTAAGCAGGCCTATTGTTTTTCGATATTTGTAGAGTTAGATGGTCCGTGAGTGTTTTTTTATTGGTTAAGTGGTCCTTGGTATAAAAAAGTTTGAGAAACCACTTTGGGAACCCTTGTTCTAGACAACGTCCAAAGTTTTGTGAGGTTAATTAGCCACTGTGGATGGAACGCATATATAGTACAGTAACCCCCTGTTGCCTTTAGATCCTATGAGGAAATACATTGACATTTCAAAACCTTCTGATACAGAAAAAAAAATTCCTGGAAATCCATTCAGTAGTGGCCTCATGCCAAAAAGTGTCTCAAATAAAAAAAATAAACTACCAATAAAGTCATGAACATTTTTGAACAATTTAAAACTTCTCAGAGATTAAAGACAGAATTATGAGAAAAAAAATCTATATTTTGAATTCAGAAGAATACCTCTGCAAAAAAACAGCACTCATTTCTTGCACACTTACACACCGACAAATAGAAAAAACTCGGTCAAATCTAATGAGGTCGCATGGCAGCCATTATCACGCCCTGCTGGGTCCATCCCAATGCATCATGGGAAAGGCTATGCGCACAATGTCAAAGGTCAAATGTTCTAATTTAAAATGCTTTCAGCTCGCCTCAACCCAGGCTCAAGTAACAACTATTACTCTGGTTCAGCAGGCTGCCGGCAGAGTTATATTAGTTTGGTCGGCAAACTCAGGATTACTGTAAGCAAAAAACGGAGAACATCAGTTTCTGCAACTTTCTGACACTGCCTGATGTACTTATAAATAACTTAATGGAAGAGAGTAAATACACAAGATAAAAATGGAAAATTGTGAATAGGGGGAGTCAAAAATCAATTAGCCATGGTGTTTATCTTTTGGAAACATCTTGAAAATCTGTTTTGCTTTGGGGAAGGCTGGCATTAAACTGCTCCCCAGACAGCTTAAAGTCTATCATTGGTTATCTGGAAATTGCTGGATGTGAAGGCCTAGATAAAGTATAGCTAATGTACAGTTGAAAAATCACACAGACATAAACAGGCATTCAGATGTATATATATATTCAGAAAGTAATCCATGTTGTTTTCCGATGAAGGAACTGAAAAATAATGTGTTTTTATGGTCAAAGCTGACCGATAAATTGACCGGACTTCTTTCTGCGGATTGATCTGAAGCATATGGAAGCCTGATCAGAGCGTTCTTAGCTAGTCTCTTCCTCTAGCAACCATCTGCTATTGAGAAAAAAGTAGACAATTGAATGTCCAAATCAGAACTGGGAATTCAACTATGCCACGTAACAAGGTGGTGCAGGGTTGATATATTTTTGCACATTTATGGTACTTTCATGTTTTGTTCAGCAGGATAATCTCAACATATAACCAACAATGTTATAATAATTGGAGCGTTAATGCAATCGCCACAAGTAAATATTAGGCTATAAACAAACTACATGACTTTAAAACACCACCGCTAAGCTAAATACTGACTCAAGTTTGACGTGTTGAAGTTTACTCGTTTCATTTTTGTCCCTTGTTTGCAACCATCGTTTTAAAGACACGTAAAAGCAACAGGCAATCACAAATGGGTTATTCTTTTCTATTTTTGGGGGGAAATCTTGTAAGCTTTTGTTGTCAACATATATAGTATATATAAACAAATTGTGAAGTGTGGGGGAAGTCAAGAATTTGCTTGGGCTGCTGATTTGAATATGTAGTGTGCTGTTGTGGTATAAAATGAAATAGTCATGTATGAGCACCTACTTTTGTTAAAAATGTTAACTATGTTATATGCACACTATCACAGCCATTCTGTGCCTTGTCTTCATCCCACTTCACCAGATAAAAGCCCTATCCACTCGATATCACATAATTCTACCTCCAAACATAAGTAGTGCGCACTGACAGCTGCAGCAGAAAATGAAGTTGGATGTGTATGAATTTTGAGACGATAAGCATATCTAAGAACTGTGAAAAGGCTTCACAAGTGAATCGGCTGCTGTCACTGGTTGCGCTTAATTTATGTGTGACGCTAAAACAGAATCGGAGATGACAATCGCCCTGGATGTGTCAGTGAAGCCTCACCTTGTCTCTCAGATGATGTTCTGCTGCATCGATGTTCAAAGGGTCATCAAAGTTCAACAGGTCCTGGATCAGAGGCAAAGAGAGAAGACGACGTGAGGACAGAAAAGTTTTATCGAGAAAAAGTTGAAGAATAGCGAGTCATGAAAGTGATTAATCGTGAACGCAAAACCCTTTGTCTTCTTATTAGAGAACTTTGCATAGGTCAATAATCCTATCTGTAAGGCACATTTTGTTTCCAAAAAACCAACTGCAGAGGAAGATATTGCCCATTCAGCACTATTTGCAGTCTGCAATGTCACCCTGGATTCTGCAAGTGGGGAAAAATAAAGCATTATAATGATGATGTTGCCGTAGAGACAATGCGCAACAAGCGAGGCAAGTGGAGTGTTATTAGAGATAAAAGAAGAGGAAGGCCTGAGAGGTTGTATCCTTATTAGGAGGTGAGATTTAGGGCATGACCACACATCAATGCAGATTACCATCATCATTATCATCAGAGCCAGTGATGACTTCTGGGTAAATTCAATCGATGATGGATTTATGCAAGCTTGAGGTTAGCAAAGTATGCCTATCTGGGCCAAACTAAATAATCTCATTCCTTTCAGCTGCTTATTTACGGTTGCTTTGGCATCCAAATGTTTAATTAATCAGACAAATGTCCGGGTCATTAACAAGATTGTAACATATCCTCCATTCCATTTGATATTTGAAAGCATGTTCGCAGTCATTTTCACATAATTAAATCCTATTTAGCTTGTCTATATTTAAATTGTATTCTGAACGATTAAACATTTCCACATTTGTTCCTTTAACATAACTTAAAATCTGATTTGTTATCTTAATCTTCCAAAGAATCTGTAATGAATCACTGTATGAATGAGCAAAAAGGGACATCCAGAACCAGCTGGGGAGGCATTTACACAACCATAATGCGTTGCTATTTCCCTTACGTCTCAAAGTGTTGTTCATAATGAGAAAGACAATTTCCCTAATTCCCCAATGATTGTATTATTTCAGGTTTAAAGAGCGACATAATCAGTGCTTGGACTCAATCATTGATTTAACCTACATACCACACTCATGTGATTCAGTTCAATACTTTGTGTCAAAGAAGTAGAAATAAATACTTTCCTTTTATTTTTTAGATTTTATGGAAAACTGCATTCAAAGATATAGGTTTAACATTTATTTTTCTAAAATCTGCACAAATTATATATGTTCTGGCCATTTAACCGGTCACTATCGCATCTTAAAGCAGAGGCTACTCAGTATTGGCTTATTGGTGGTTTGTGAACTACCTCTCTGAAAGGTCCCAATGTGTTCACTTTGATGGGCTGTCTTCTGAGTGGTTGAACATTGCTAATGGTGTTCCTCAAGGTTCTGTTTTAGGTCCACTTTTATTCTCCATATATATCAACAGTTTAGATGAAAATGTGGATGAAGCTACGTTACATTTTATGCGGATGATACCGTGATGTACTGTGCAGGTCCCTCCATTAAGGAGGCGGTTGTTAAATTACAGGCTGTTTTTAACATTATTCAGACTCAGCTCTCTGAACTTAAGCTTCTTTTAAATGTTGATAAAACCAAGGTAATGCTTTTTTCAAAAGCTAAAAAGACACCAGAGCCTGTTTTAGATATTGTTATATGCAAGGACAAGTACTAAAAGTGGTTGCCTGTTATAAATACCTAGGTATCTGGCTTGATGATTGTCTTACTTTTAAACTTCATGTCAATAACCTGCTTAAAAAGCTGAGAGTTAGACTAGGTTTCTTTTTCAGAAACAAGTCCTGTTTCTCGCTTGAGGCCAGGAAAAGGCTAGTCACTGTGACCTTTTTACCTGTGCTGGACTATGGTGATTTGTTGTATATGAATGCACCTGCCCATTACCTGCACAAGTTAGATGCCGCCTATCACAGCGCACTGAGATTTATCACAAATTGTAAAGCACTTACACATCACTGTACCCTGTATGCCAAGGCAGGTTTGCCATCACTTACTGTACGGAGGCTCAGTCATTGGTACACGTTTATTTATAAAGCTTTGTTGGGTAAACTCCCGTATTATATCTGCTCTCTGATAACACAGAGAGTTGCAAGCAGCTATTGTCTGAGATCGCATGATGTAGTATTGTTAGATGTGCCAAGAGCAAGGACTGTCTTAGGTAAGACAGCTTTTATGTGCGCAGCTCCACTTGCTTGGAACAATCTTCAGCAAGAATTGAAACTGAGCAATCTCATTCCTCTGCATGTTTTTAAAGCTAGGCTAAATGAAATGCTCGTTGATACTATGGGTACTTGTAAATGTCTATAACTATGTAAATGTATCCTGTAAATATAATGTATGATGTCCTTTATTGTTTTATGTTTCATGTGGAACCTATATGCTGCAGGTCTCCCTTGAAAAAGAGATCTATGATCTCAATGGGACCAATCTGGTTAAATAAAGAGATGATATGTAATCAAAAATGTATATTTAGGCAGTTTATCTTTAAACAACAAATCCATGTTAAAGGTGGGGTAGGTAATTTTGGAGAAACCAGCTCGAGTGCGCTAGAATTTGAAAATACACAGCCGGAAAAAATCTGCCACTTCCTTACAGAGCCCCTCCTCCAACACACACGAACGCGCACATGACCAATGAGGGCACGAGATAAGTTTGTGCACAGATGGAAGGCTGACAGGCAGGTAGGCCATCCAGTTATTTTAGCCGGGCCGGCTAAAATGATTGGTCGTGCTTTTTACAGTACTACGGCTTCCACAGATGATGTTTTTTTATGGATTTTTTGTCAAAGCACTTAAGATATTCATTGCTATCGGGATGTTAAGAGCATTCCATGGAATATAACAAAAAGTGTATCTCGAGCAGGTTTCTCAAACTTACCTACCCCACCTTTAATAGATACAAAAAAATGCAAAACTTACAGTAAACAAGGAGTTCAATCCCCAGACAATGTCCTAGAAAAAAGAAGAATGAAAGAAGTATTAATAATGAATAGTCAAATAGTATCACAGTATTACATTTAAATTCACATATATTCTTGTCACAACAGATTATATATAACAAAAGTTAGCAACAGAGTGCAAGTAAAAATATGTACTATAATATATAGTGTTTGCATATACATAAAGAATATACTAAACATTTGTACACAACCAAATCTATCTAAAGTATTAGCTGATAATACCAACATGTATTTCAATTGGCTGTATAAAGCTGACGTGATACATTTTTATCTGTGTCTTATAACACGGATCCTGGAATACCCCAAAGATATACTATGTAAAACAAAGCGAGTAAACCAGCATTTGACCTTCACAAGGATTGCAGAATTTCTCAGACATTTCCCTTGAGACAAAGCACATTGGTACAAAAGATATAAGTTCAAAACCATCAAGTCCCTCTATCTTCTAGCATCAGGAGCCATGGGACTCTTTAATGTACCACTGTAACATGCAGGGCAGGACTCTAAAGTACTGTACGCCTGAAAGCAGCTATAGGCATGAGGGTTCTGTGTATGAAAAAGAAAACAACAGCGACATTATAATTGCCCTTTTTATACTGTAGCTTATGACTGTCGGTATCCCAAAGGAAAAGCAAGGCTGAACATCAAGGATCTTGTCGAGTTTTAATACAATTTGTAAATGGGCAAAGTAAAAATAAATATTAACGCTAAACCTCTGTTCCAACTAAACACAGCAGTCACATAGCGATGGCTATACAAATTGTTTTGGGAAGTTTTATTTCTGCTGCAATGAACTGTGAGGTGGTTCTGTGATTAACAATTTAAAATGCATGCTCTCAGGGATTCCGTTCAATTATCTTTCGCTCATTCCATTTATTTCATTTACATAATGAAATTAGGCTTTCAACGGTTATAGAAGCAAATGAAAAAATCTCTTGCAGAGAATAGCCGACTGAATCACACAGCTAAGGAGAGCAGACTGTAGATTAAAATAGAGGAAATTATTATCAGTGCACCACGATAAAAATAGCAGGTATTGTCTGGGACTGAATAATAAGACTTTGAAATGTATATTCTCCAATGTCATTTTCCCTAATTGAGCTGTCCATTTTCTGCAGCTCAAGTGGTGTATAACTCCAGGGGGCCAGAAAGCAGCAATATCAGCTCTTCTATTACTTTATTCTCAGTTGTTGAAAAGTTGAAGCATCACTAGCGGCAAGAAGTACCATATGTTCACATGACAGCTCCTTTGTTAACATTTTGTCTGTATAAAGTGCCAGATTAACTTGTATTTTTATGAGTGTATATATACAGCAGTTTAAAATAAATAGATATAGAAAAAGAGAAATATATTCAGTTGAAATTAAAGGGGCTCTATTATGCAAATGTCCAGGTTCATAATTCTATTTTGTGCCTCTCCTGCGACATGTCTCCATGCTTTAATGTTCAAAAAGCTCTTTATTTTTCTCATACTGCCTGTGCTGCAGCACCTCTTTTCACCCTCTGTCTGAAACCCGAGCCCAGTCTGCTCTGATTGGTTGGCTGGCCAGCTCTGTTGGGAAGACTATGCTATAACACCCCTTGTTTTTCATTTAATTGTTTATTTGAACCGGGACAGTGCACATTAATGAACATTTTAAACAAAATAATGTTTTTAAATGTAAATGAGCCGGATTTTAGCTTTGAGCTAGTTTCCATCCGTAGTCCCGTCACATACAACATTTATGAACATAACATTTATATACATGGCAAACAGAAATACATGATATGCAGAAAGAGCATGAGCAGCATACAAGCATTTACCACAAGGCAGTACAATGTAGCAGCAACGACATATAAAGTGCAGGAGGAGATAACAGAGCTACATAAAGTGCAAAAAAAGTGCTACATAAAGTGCAAGAGGAGATACCCCTGTATTAAACTGCATTTAGCGGTGATCGCACGTCTGTTTGTTTCTCAACCATTCTTTGAGTTGACCTTTAAAACTATTGAGAGTGAAACAATCCCGTATCTCAGTTGGGAGGCTATTCCACAATGAGCTGCCTTTAATGGAGAGGACATTTTGTCCAAAGGTGGTCCGTCTGCGGTGGACTTCACAGTCTCCTCTGGTTTCTGACCTAGTGCAGCATCCAGTGTGTTTTTTGTGGATGAATTCCCCTTGTTGTTAAATACCAATTATGTGCAATATATATGTATATATATATATATGCCGTTAGTAGCTGTGCAATATATAGTATACATGGCTGCTATATCTCACAACTGTTACAGGATGTGTATTTTGTAAATAGTGTAATTTATTTTGAATTTTTTGTCTTTAATATCTTTGGGTAATATTAAGCTGTCTTTTGCTCTTTTCTTGCTGTAACAAATGCAAATGTCCTCTCTGTTGGACGGATAAAGGTATTCTGATTCTGATTGGTCAACCTCTTGGATGTCCTGATCCTTAGCCTATCACGTACAATGTGTTGGGGCGTGTTCCATAGTGAGGTATTTTTGTTACGGAAGTAAACAAAGGAGTCCAATGAAGGCGTTTCAGGCAGGAGGGGGGATGTGTGGAAGAGAAACTCCCTCTGGAGAGAACTTTGGGAATTTAGCCTTTGCGAAGGTATTTTGTGTGGCACTGTCCGTGTTGGTGTGTGTGTGTGGGCTGAAGTGGAGAACAGTGGTGACCAGTGAAGAGGGACATCATCACCCACTCAAAAACAAACACAATCCTTTCTGACTCACAGCTTTAGCACTTACTTTTTCTGGCGGATTGTTTTGCACTCTCTGACACACATGAACCCGAGCCCGCTCGCACGCATATGACCACATCACATCTACGTCTAAGTAAACAACAAAGGACTGCATTCAAACTTGGACCAGGAAATAAAAACAAACACAGCCACAGAGGCCAGGGATTGAATGGTGGACATGAAAAAATCAGCCACATCAATGTAGTAGAGGGAAACATTTTACAAATGGTTTCATGGCAGCAGCAAAAGAGAAAAGTCTTCAGTCTGGATTTAAAAGAAGTGTGTTGCAGTGGACCTGCAGTTTTCTTGTATTTTGTTCCAGATATATGGAGCATAATGATCGAATGCTGCTTCTCCATGTTTTGTTCTGACTCTGGGGGCAAAAAAAGCAGACCTGTCGCAGAACACCTGAGAGTCTTTGAAAGACATGAAGCCAGTGTAAAGATCTCCGAACTGGATTAATAAGATCCACTTTCTCAGTGTCAGTGAGGCCTCCAGCAGCCGTGTCTAGTATAGTCTACTGAAGGTACATGCATGGTGGTTCCAAGTTTTTCCAAGTCCCGCTGTGACATAAATCCTTTAATCCCAGATATATTCTTAAAGTGATAGTAGGCTGACTTCGAGTTGTCTTGATGTGACTGTCGAAATCCAGGTCTGGTCCAAACCAAACCAAACAAACACAAAGATTAGCACGTATTCTCTATGAAAAGCTTCTTTCCTTGCAGCAACTTCATTTACTCAAGGCCGCGGTGGAGAAGAAACTGAGACTGAAGTATGTTATAAATAGACCTATTTGTGTGTATTTCCGAGTTTTGTGAATTGTCAATGAAATGCTATTAACTATTTGCGACAAGAGAACATTTTATATTTTAAATTATTTGTGTTGCCACAGTTCTGGATAAGCTCTGTTTGTTGATCAGAGAAGGGGCTAGAAAAGGGCAGATATATGTGTTGAAAGGAAAGAATAGATATATTTAATTTATTTATACATACTGTACAGGGGGATGAAATTAATGGAAAGCAATGTTTCTATGGAGAGAGCTTTTACTATTGGTTTTGGCAGAATAGAGTGGAAAGGTCTTCGGAAAGTTTCTTCAAAGTGGAAATCAATACCTAGATGTGGGGTTTTCTAGTCAATAGAAGGTTTATCCTAACTGTATAATGTGTTGCTATTATGGCAACGAATTCCACTATTTTATATCGTCTACCAGAAAACTCCAGGAACCATTTCAGCTGTATTCATAATAGTTCTCTGGGGAAGTAAATAGAAGAACCCTAGAGAACTTTGGATGGTATATTGTTCACAGTGCACACAAATTAAATCAATAAAATGCTATAGAAGAATATACTAGAGCTTCCCGAATCTGGTAATGCTCAGTTTGCTAGCCTAGTTTGGTCGCTGACGGGCCATTACGTTTATTCGAAACAAACTCCTGTCTTGGTAGTGTCATGCAATCTATTGCTCTTTCCATAACAAATCTTAATCCTAACTGAATATAGCATCATAGCTAGCTAGTAAGCTACGATAGCATCCTTCCCATTTCTTTGACAATAAGCTCTGTCACTTGCTATTGGTCAATGGCCCGACTTCCTGTGTCAAAGTTCGATCAAGTTCTATGCCAAACATGACATCAACACATAGTGTGATGGCTTATTTGGTTCAAAATGTACTGTAGATATAAAATATTGGGGGGAAATGTGTTAATGTGACACTAAGGTTTCAGTTGCACCACTGAAATGACTTTTTATAAAAAGAAACAGATTTGACAAAACAATTGTTTTTTTCGAGCCACACTTTCATGGCAAATGTCCCATTTCCTTTTGGTGTATTGTAGGATTTAATCATGCGAAGAGTAAAATAATGTGTTTGCTTATGGTGACAGTAAGGACATCGCTCTGAAACAAATTGATCTAGCTGGAGAATGTTAATTATGTAAACAATGTACATCATTACGCACAGGAAATAGAAGAGAAAATAGATTTTCTGAATATAGAGAAGACCCTTAAAGTACGTTAATGTGTGCAGACAGCAAAAACAAGGCGAAAGGAGAGGGATAGAACTTTAAGAGAACAACCCTAGGGGATAAGACAAATCCTGACAATAACTACAGTCTTGGCAAGAAACTCAAAGGCACCAAGAGGATTTACTGTATGACCCTCTAGACTTTTTAAATCTAGTACTGGAGACAAGGGAGCTCTGAAAAGTCTCTGAAAAAAATCCCTGTCTCTCCACTAACTTCACACATTATGCATGCATTTACATATTTTCATTATTACAACTGCATCCGAGTGCAGAGATCGAGAGGAATGTTGATCTAGCTTTGCGTCCCTGTTGAGAAGCACAGATAGGTGCCGATTGGATCAGAATGTTGAAGACAAAATTAAACATGTGAGAGAGAGCTTCATCGTACCACTACTTTCAGTTCCAAGCGGTAGTTGTAATCAAACATAATTATAATCAAATCTTGAATAGGGATGGCAGAGGCGTACTTTCTTTGAACTTCAGCAAATGTTTCTTGCAGAAAGTGCATTTTTGGAAGGGTAAAATAAGTCGAGGCACTCTTTATTATGCAGCTGAAAAACCTTCCATTGGGAAATGTACCTTGCACAGCTCCGCAAAATGTTTTTGTTGTGTCCTGAAGATATTCCATAGTGCTTTCAACAGCCCTTAGCAATATTTCTCACACCCCCATTGTGTCAGGGCTTGATAAAGAAAATGCCAAATGTTGAGGGCTGTTGCAATCAGTTCTAAAGTGTTTGTAAATGATCCACTGAATGTAGACGGTGGTTAACAATACAACTCTGTTCAATAGCTCCATGACTTCTTCTTGATTTTGACACATTTTAAACACTTTTACAAGACCACAGATAGTCCTATTTGAGATCACGTTTGTGTAACTAAAACCTCTAGAGACACAGGTTTATTAAGAATCTTGTGATTCCATTGTATTTCCTTTGTATTTTACCAGCAAATGGGACCATTGGTTTTGATTTTGGCCCCTTTAATGTTTACCTTAATGTTTACATTTAAGGGGCCCTATTATGGTCATTTTCAGGTTCATATTTGTATTTTGTGCCGCTTTAATTATCCAAAAGTGCTTTATTTTTCTCATACTGCCTGTGCTGCAGCACCTCTTTTCACCCTCTGAAAGGTGCGCGAATCCTGTCATTCCCTCAGCCAAAACTTAAAAAAGACAGATGAATTCATGCTACATTAACGTTCCTTGTTCTAGATTCTCCGCACTACACCTTCGGCAAGCCCGGAGCGAAAACTTTGCATGGCTTTGCTAAATGCTAGGTCGATAGCAAATAAAACGTTCCTGCTAAACGACTTCTTCACCTCTCGTGAACTGGATTTTATGTTTCTGACGGAGACCTGGGTCCACGCTGGCGAGTATACACCGTTCTCTGAACTTCTTCCTCCTGACTGTACATTCTTCAGCTCCCCCCGTGCCACCGGCCATGGTGGGGGCATAGCATCAGTGTTTAGAGCTAGCCTCCAATGCCGATTGCTTCACCCTGTAACTAGCTATGCTAGCTGTGAGTTGCATCTTTTTGAACTGAACCCGGCCTCGCCTATACTCTGCGCAGTCGTGTATCGTCCGCCAAAGTGCAATAAGGATTTCATAAATGACTTTTTTGACTTTCTGTCCGGGATCATGGTGAAATATGATCGTGTTTTGATCTCCGGAGACTTCAATGTCCATGTGTGTTGCGAGTCCAAACCTCTGGTTAGGGACTTTTTAAATCTCCTTGATTCTTTTGGTCTCGTTCCGTCCGTGGCTGGCCCAACACACGGAAAAGGACACACTTTGGACTTAGTATTATCGTTTGGACTGTCTGTATCTGTGGATGAAATATGTGCAGCAACGCGTATCTCAGACCATTTACCGGTTCTGTTTACAACCTCCATCCCTTCCGCAGGAGTCGAATCACGTGCCCCTGCGCGTCGTCTACGTTCAATTAACCCCTTGACTGCCTCACAGTTTTCTGATGTTTTTAATGCTTCTCCGATCTGTAAATTAGAGGTGAACTGTGCTTTTAGTGCTGATGAGCTTATCTCCTGTACCTCATGTACCCTAATACTGGATTCTGTTGCTCCTCTTACGCTTAGACGCACCAAAGTTCTATCAGAGCCGTGGCTCAATGACTGTACTCATGCTCTTAGACGCGCTTGCAGACGTGCAGAGAGAAAATTGAAAAAGGATAAACTCCATGTCTCCCTAGAAATCCTTCGTGCTTGCCTTTCTGACTACCAGACGGCAGTCAAAGCAGCCAAAACAGAGCACATTTCTCTGCTAATCTCCAAAAACAGCCATAAACCTCAGGTTATTTTTAATGTCCTCAACTCGATCATTAATCCCTGTGATGTTTCTCCAATTGTGCCATCGACTACTCTCTGTGATAAGTTTCTTACATTTTTTATTGAAAAAGTATCTGCTCTTAGGCTAGCCCACACGAATGCTACCCCAGATCCTGCTCCTTTTCTGTGCCCTGCTGTCCTCGACCACTTTGAGCCTGTATCCCTCTCTTCTCTCTCGGATGTAGTCATGCACCTGCGGCCGACAAACTGCACCTCAGACAGCATTCCCTCTCGCTTTCTCAGAGATGTTTTCGAATCAGTTGGAGCAAGTATTTTATTACTTATAAACACCTCTCTTAGCTCAGGATGTGTCCCAGCTGCCTTCAAACATGCCGTGGTCAAGCCACTACTTAAAAAGAAAAATCTCGACCCCTCCATTCTCGCACATTTTAGGCCCATCTCCCAGCTACCTTTTTTATCTAAAGCCCTGGAGCGAGTAGTCTACACCCAGCTGCAGTCGTTCTTAATCATGCATGGAATCCATGAAAAGTTTCAGTCTGGCTTCAAACCCATGCACAGTACTGAAACAGCCCTTTTAAGAGTTTTTAATGATCTGCTCCTAGCCGCCGACTCAGGTAGCCCAGCTGTCCTGGTGCTGTTAGACCTGACAGCTGACTTTGACACTGTGGACCATAGCATCCTGCTGTCACGGCTTGAACAGTCCGCTGGCATCACAGGCTCTGCCCTTGCATGGTTCAGGTCCTACCTGACAGACCGTAGCTTCTCAGTGCAGCTAGGTACCTTCTCCTCTGCCAAAGCCCCTCTTACCTGTGGGGTTCCCCAAGGCTAAATTCTGGGCCCCATCCTTTTTCTACTGTACATACTGCCCCTAGGTTCAATTCTCATAAAACACAACATCCCCTTCCACTGCTACGCCGACGATGTACAGATCTATCTGCCACTCAATTCAAATGTCAACTCATTACAGCTATTGATGGACTGCTTAGCAGAGATCAAATCCTGGCTTAGCCGAAATGTCCTCAACCTCAACGAGAGCAAGACTGAGGTTATCTTATGAGCAGGTCTCCCTTGAAAAAGAGATCAATGATCTCAATGGGATACAACCTGGATAAATAAAGGTTTGAAATGAAATGAAATGAATCTTTTTTGGACCCCAACCTCCAGCCTCCCAGGTTGATATTCTGGGCTCCCTCAAAAACAATATCCCCCCCTCTGTCACGAACCTTGGAGTGACCTTCAATAGCGCTTTTAAATTTGATAAACAGGTCAGCAGCATAGTCAAAACCTTAAAATACGACTATTGGCTAAGACCAAGTCGTTTTTATCTTTTAAAGACCTGGAAAGGGTTATAAACGCCTTTGTAACCACAAGGTTGGACTACTGCAATGCTCTGTACGTGGGTATGGATCAGGCGTCAATAAGACGCCTGCAGCTAGTGCAGAACGCAGCTGCACGTCTACTCACTGGCCACAAAAAGCGTGACCACATCACCCCAATTCTGGCCTCACTGCACTGGCTTCCAATTCGGTTCCGAATTGATTTTAAAATCCTTTTATTTGTTTTTAAAGCACTAAATGGGCTGGCTCCGGCCTATATAGCTGAACTCCTCCAGCGCTACACCCCAGCCAGAGCTTTAAGGTCTGCTGACCAGCTGCTGCTGGTAGTGTGTGTGTGTGTGTGTGGTGTGTGTGTGTGTGTGTGTGTGTGTGTGTGTGTGTGTGTGTGTGTGTGTGTGTGTGTGTGTGTGTGTGTGTGTGTGTGTGTGTGTGTGTGTGTGTGTGTGTGTGCGTGCGCGCGCCTGCGTGTGTGTGTGCGTGTGTGTGTGTGTGAGTGAGTGAATGTGGAGACACTGTGATGGATCGTTGGAGCTATGTGCAGCTCAAGGCATATATGCTCGAACGGGAGCTGCCTGGACGCTGCAATCATGTTGCACGCACTATCCGTGGTGAGTGTGCTGACTTTTCTGGCTACCTGCATAAAGTCAAGTGCTCGGCGCAGTTGTCGGCGAAATGTCGCTCCTCTGTTTTTATTGAAACAGCTCCTTATATCCATTAGCGCAGCTAGCTAGCATCAGTTGCTAACAACAACAACAACACGTAAGGTGTGCCTCGCTCGCGCCACACATACACACACCCTCCCGGTCCTCCCGATGGCCAGTCCGGGCCTGCCGGTGAGCGTGGAAGTGTGGTCTGCCACAAGCGGGCGGCAGGAGCGGGGCTGTCAGCATCAGCTTGTAGATGGTATTTTAAACTCGATGCGCTCTGAAACTACGGAGCGGCCAAGGACAAAAAATACACGTGTTAATCGCGTTAAAATAATTAGTGGCGTTAATATTTTTATTTAGGTAGTTATTAACGCGTTAACTTGACAGCCCTAGTTTTTATGTGATTGTAGTATTTATTACATGTACAGCACTTTGGCCCGACCAAAAATCGCTTTTAAATGTGCTTTATAAATAAAGCTTGATTTGATTTGATTTGATTTGATTTAGATAAAGATGTCCCTATTCAAAAAACCCTTAAGCTTAAAGATTCTTCTGAAAGAAAGTTACATTTTCTTTTTGAATTAAATGCAAATGATGTACCTTTAATGTTCTAGTGGGGGCCCAGCCTGTGCCGTCGATAGAGTGCTCCCGCAATAAGCTGAAATAAAATAAAGAGAAACACAGACATTTAACATTTGTAAGTATTACCAAGGAAATGTTGTGGCATCGCCAAATGTGTATCCCAAGAAAACTCCAAGACTACCGTTTATAAAATCTCAAAGAAAATGGTAACATTTGCGAGAATGTTATTGAATGTCTTTAAGGGTTTGTCCATCCAATTTCAGGGACTGCAGGGGAAATGGATATCTAGCGAAGGGAATACTATCTTTCATTTGCTTTTTCCATCAACTTCCTAGCAGGACGAATGTAGCATAGAATAAAATAATAGAAGCAAGGTGTAGGTGGCATTACCTCAAACAGATCTCTCCGTTCTCTGTGATGTTAGGATGCCATATTCTGGTCAGACATCTCACTTTAGGAGGCTGGAAATAACGTGAAGAAACACAATTGTTATGGGGGTCAGATAATCTTTGTACAATACAAGTCTTTACAGAAAGGAGAAAATGGAGCTAAAACAAATGCTTTTGCTGCTAGTAAGTAGTGTATATAGACGTGTAAGTATATGTATATGGGCATTTTGCTTTTAGTATATTACCAGTTTTAGAATTAACACCTAGACGTTTTGCCTTTTGTAAGCTATTCACATTCATCCAACATATGTAATATCGTGATGACCAAAGATACAATTTCTCCGTGGATAATTAGTCAAATGCTCTACAAAATAATTCATTGATAATTTCAATGATGTGCTTATGCAATTTAAAAACATCAAACCCATGTTTAGTATTGACCTGCAAGGCACCCTCAGATAGACAAATGGCAAAGAATATCTCCTTCTTTTCTTGTTGATAATTATGATAAGCCAAATACAACAGCGCTCCCAGATAGATTACCATTTTTGGTTGGTCAACATGAAGGCTTTTATGCCTATTGTATCAGCAATAAATGTTCCATATCCAAATACTGTATGTTTTGGGCTTTTTTTGTTGTTTGTAAGTTTTCAGGTTGCAAAAAAGAATTCACACAAGGTTTCTATATTAACTCAGTTTCAAAGTTTGATGATATAAAGCCATCTTACCTGTTATCAAAATGTCTGTACATTTAGAATAACATGAAAATGTGGACTATTTTCAAATCAGAAAATATATTTATGCATTCTTTGGATTGCTGAGATTTCTATAACTATGTTTTAACAGTGAAAGGTGCCTGTGTGAAATGACTATAATCATGTAATCTGAAAATGTTCAATTCCTTTAACTACAGGGAAGCTCTGTCAGGGATAATGAAAAGTACATAGGATGTTAATAATAGTGACAGACCTCGGGAAAAGGCAAGGAAGAAAAGGTTGTTTTGCTTTTTCTCAACATGCAAATGCATTTTTTATTGCGATCTTGTGGTTTCCTTTGGTTGAAATAATGTAGTGGCAATTTCTTATATTACTTTATATGGTAAATCCAAATGCAACGCTTATATGATGAAAAGTGTACTCAGTAACCCAGTTTTCATTGCTCGACTTGTTGTTCACCCAGATGCTTCCTGCCAAGGTCATATTTGAACAGTACAGGTATTGTTCCTCAGAAGAACATTGCAAGATAACAGTCAGGAGAAAGTGTTATCTCTCTTTGTCTGCACAGCAACAGTTACAAAAAGAGCGCCAAGGTCCTCTATAAATCACACACACACATTTACCTCTGTGTGCACTCCTGCAGACTATTATATACTCTGTATGACATGTACCGTCGAAGCTTCGAATAAAGAACCACAAATACAACTCTGTTTGCATCGGACCAGTTTTATTATATTATTATTACTAGTACATCTCCGGATCATTGACGAGTGAAAGTTTCCACAACAATACATCCTCAACCTGTAATTGAATGAAACCGTGCTGCAGGTCGTAATGTCTTTTCACTAAATCCCAATAACAAACAGACTGCAAAATCTCTTATACTGTGCGCATATTTCAATAAAGTCAATTCACTTTGGCACCCTTTTCCAAATCTCAAATAAATCCAGATATTATTTACAGCCCATATTAATTGTTCAGTTGATCCCTTCTAAATTAAGATTATCTCTGAGTCATTATTAGTCATTGCTATTATTGGATTCCATCAGTTCTGGGCACTTCCCGTGCTGTGTAACTGCTAAACTAAAAAATGTTGGTTAACTTGATGGATAGAAACCCAATTACACGACAGACCTAACTTAAATCCTGTAAGTCTGAAGGAAAATCAATGACACGCTGTTTAGAAAAGTCAAGGAATGGATATTTGTAATGTGAGCTACAGGTAAGACTTCAAACCAGGCTGATGACTGATTTGTTGTGCTTGTTGGGCCATGTAAACCCTCACACAGCTTTAAAAGTGACTTTATTACAGGTCATACACTGATAAAGAGTGCTTCTGAAACCATCTGAGTCATATTCTCTTACCCAAAGTCAGTCAGTGGTGTAATTCTCTACTTCAAGCCACTGGGGCCAACATTATGAATAGATTAACCTTTCATGAATGAACGTTTATTATTTATCAGTCCGTGGCAGGTGTCATAAACTGCCACAGAACAGAGAGAAACTGTGTGTGATAAAAGGCTCAGAAAAAAGACTGAGATACAAGGCACACATACATGTTCAGGGTTACATACGGACAAAAACAAAAGATACCCCCACACACACAGGCACACACTGGCACGGTGAGATAAAGCCAAGAATGAATAGAAGAACAGAAAAAAACACGCAAGTCATGAAGGTCAGGTGGAAAATAATATGCGGTTATTTGAAGTCCTTCCACTAAGAGATAAGAAAATGCCACTACTTTGATATCATTTATGAATTGTATTGAAAGGAAATGTGATATTAATGCCATTTGCTTACATTTCACATTACATTTAGATTTTTAGGGCACCACTACTGTGCTGGAGAATGTTTCATGCAAAGCAAATCTGGAAGTTTCTATTCAAACACAGGAAGCTGCTGCCAAATGCATATATGCATAAAATACAGCCCAGACTATTACTTTCCAAAATGATGAGAGATAATTGGAACACTTACCACCATGTTATAGGCTTCTGGGACATCTATTTCAAACTGAAACCTTCCACTTTGGTAGTAGCCCTCATCTGGAAGAAAATGGAGGAAAAAAACAGAAGAGAAGGGATTTCAATAATGAACACACGACAATAGAGTTTGTGTTTAATGACAATCATTCATGTACAAAGGCCAATGGAAAGAGGGCTTTAACCATTGACCTAAGTCAGGTTTCCAACTAATTGTAAAGCACATTTTTATAGAATAAAAAAAAATCTGCAGAAGAAAATTGTGATTGATGCTTGTTTCCATGCACTACCGTTTTTTAGGAATTGATTAAAAGAAATAGGCAGTGGCTGTTGCCAATTGCATACTGGAAGAAGAAGAAATGGTTAAAAGCTTGCCAGTCGGATCTGATTTAAAGATGAAGCGTGTGACGACCGTCGTTGATATGAAGGAAGTTGCATCTGAACTCAAACATGAAAGAAGACAGCGGAGATAGTCCAGCAAATGGAGAAGTAAATCTTATCTCAGGGGAGTAAAGACCTGGGGCCTCATTTATAACGCCTTGCGTAGGATTGACGTGAGAAGGTTGCTTACGTAGTACAAAGCAAAAAAATAGGTACAGACATTTTCCGACATTTTCCGATTCACAAAACATTGCGTACCGGCGTAGGAAGTGCGTACGGCACTTCCTACGCCTGTTTCCCTTTATAAATCACAATCGACTCGAAATGCGGCGCAGCTTTTGCAGGCTTCACGTAACGCCCATATTTGCCTATAAATAGTCAAAGAAACGCCCATTCATTCATTCTGACTGACTGCATGAAGAAGATCGCAGGAAATTACGACAGAACAGCTAAAAAAGACATCTCACACCGTGTCAGATTTAGGTTATTGTGGGGAGGTCGAGATAAATCATATTGTTTGGTGGATGCAGTTTGAACCAGAGTAGCAGCATGGAGGTCGGATCGTCACCAAAATAAATAAATAAGTGGTCCGAAAAAAGTTAATGACAAAAAAAATACACATAACCTTCCTCAGGCAGTGTGTTTGTCCCGGGGACAGGAGACACCCCCTTGATGAGAAACTGTAAGAAATGATCGGGGAATCCCTCCGGATTGGATCTGAATTATTTTTGTTGTATTTGGTGGTTTGTGTTCCAGCTGTCGATCAGCAACTATATATCCATAATCCACCAGTTAAAGGAAATACAACTAATGTGTTGTGTTATATTAGCTGTACAATTTACCACATATGGTGTTCTTAGTTTCCATACCTCCTGTGTTTTACGAGCGACTTATCAAGTCTTGGCAAACGGCATAAAACACGATTAAACGTGATAGTATATAAAACCATGCTCGTATCTACAACCTATAGAAATGCAAAACGGCGTCAGTTTAGACGTAATTCTGTCCTCCTGCTTACCGCATCATTTATGAGAAAACATTTCATAACATTAACACAACATATTCGAGGTGGTTTTAAATAATATATCCGTATTTATTTATTTCTCCAAGTTATGTTTTTGTGTGCACTGAGGAGTCTCAAACAGGCGTTTGTTTAATCATTTTAAGATTGGCTTTAATCAATGTTTGAAAATGAATTCTTCATATGATAAATGAGAGGTAACATTTTATTTATGGTATTATTTCCACATATTTCTCTCCATTCTTCCTTCTGCCAACGGTGTCGCAGTTTCTCGTCTCTCCCGTTTGTGTGCTTAGTGCGTACGCATGGGTTAGAGTTTGCGTGGAGGACAGCACATTTTCCCGTCAAGTTAGTATTTTATAAATCGCAAACATTGCGTAGAAACTGGCGTACGCCATTTTTTGAGCGTATATCCCTTTATAAATGAGGCCCCTGATGTCTGACCTTTCAATGAAAACATTCTGAAGGTCAAACATAATCATGGCTTAATCCTCCATTTCAATCTCGCAATGGCGGACTTCATTACACAAACACACGAACACACACACACTTTCACACCTAGTACACCACAATCATTGGGAACAGACCAATCCTGTTCTTGTTCTTTAAGATATGTGTCGGCAGTTTAGTCATCATTAGAAAGGTAGATTGTAGAGGGGAATGTTAATGGGCTGCTGCTCAACCAAGTGAGCTAGGCAGCAGCCCATTAACCAATCATGTTTGAGCGGGTTTTGTTTACATGCAGGTCAAAATGTAATCTCAGACCAAGCAAAATTGGCTCTGTCCAACAACAATTGAGTAACGATTGGCTAAAGATAAACCATTAACTGAGTGTGAAATGGCATCTTGTGAAAAACTCTGGTCATGGACTTTGCCTTTTAACTCAGTTCTTCTTTTGCTAATCCGCATATAAAAAATGACAGGCCCATGGCAAATAGAGTCTTGGCTACATCGGAACCCCCAAAATATTTGAATGGTTTTCAACCGGTCAAATTGTCCTCAGGCCAATATCTGACAAGTTTCAAGATTGTGCTTGGAAAAATGAAGAGAAAACACATATGCAAGAAGAAAAACAAGTATGAGATTTTTACGCACATTAAAGATAAGATTTTTCTTAGTCAATTGCGGCAATTTCTTCGATAGGTTACTAGGTTTGTAAGCTGTCTCTCTCCGTCAGCCACTCTCCTCATCTCTCCCTACCTGTAGCCTTTCAAGCCACTTAAAGGTTCATAGAGGACATAGGATGTGAGGGGACTTTAATTAGTTGGATAGCTGTGATCTTATTGTGTCACGCTGTCAGAAAAGGACAGGAATAACACAGCACTTACCAATTAACACAGGATCAGTTTTGGACAAAATAAATAAGTGGACTAATCGGACCTCACACAGGTGGACTGATACTCGTGACATCGTCTGAGAGAGATAGACAGAAAAGGAAAGTCCTTGAAAATAAGCTGTGTAATGACCTAACCTGTTTATGTGCTCTATTAACTGAGCAGCCAGTATCCAATTTTGCACCTTTAGTCTAAAAGTACCTTGCTGAACTTTTGTAAATGGACTATAAAATATACTTCGATTACATACTATAGTTAAATATACAAAAACACAAAAATATTAAAAACACCTTAAAACATAAAGCAATACAAATGTACAAAAGAAAATGGTTATTTATTGCTCTGACACGGTAACAATAGCACTTAAAAGTCGTGTTTTTATTTACACCCATTAAGCATTGGCATAAAGGCAAGCTGTTCTCATTCTCGACTGTCGTCTGTGTTCTCAAACACTGAGCAATTTGAGATAAGGCCTGCTTTGTAAAAGAGCTGTCCTACCGCCCTCCCAGATACCATTCACTGCAACAAAGACAGAGGTACAATTGAATTAGACCGCACAAACAGTCCTCCCTGTATTATTAATGTGCAGAGATAGAGGGAGTGAAACACTGTGTGAAAAAGAGATACCGCAGTTAGGCAGTACGAAGGTTAACAAAAGAAACCGCTATAGATCCAAACCAAGGGCTGGATGGATATAAAAAAAGAGAATAACAAAAAGTAACAAACTGAAAGGGCGAAAGAAAGACAGCAGACAGAAAGCATCTACTGACTAAAAGTGCCAGTCAGAGGTCAGAAATAATTAATGAGTGTCTTCAGTTTACTGGAACAATGAGTCTTTTCCAGCACAGGCCTGCATACCTGTGACAGTTGACAAGCTAGCTAGCAGAGTTTGTTCAATAACCAAATCTTGACCAACCAGAAATGCACCAATGTCAAATTTCTCAGCCGATAACAAAACAATGCTAAGATTCGCAATATAGCTAGAGCCAGATACAAATGCTTATGTTTTTCGGAAAACAAGTACAACTGTTTTTCAGCCTTTCATCACATTAACTCTGAATAAGCCCAATCGGCCGTTACATTGGTGTTTCCCTATTACATATTGCTAAATTAACAGTAACCAAACCAAAACGTTCATCCCACAACAGTATAGCGGTACTTAGTGGAACAAAAAACACAATAGGCGCGTTCACACCGGAGTACTTTTCCCCGTACTTTTCCCGTTTAGTTCCGTTAGTACCCCTTATGTTGCGTTCACACCAAAAAGAGTACTTAGTGCCGGGAACTTTTACCCCCATTTTTAGTGCCTGCTAGAGAGGTGGTACCAAAAAAGTACCAAAAAAGTACCAATTTCTATTGGCTGGGCAAATTGCAAACCACGCCCCGTAAAACTCTGAAAAGTTTTGTGAAGCCGCCATTGTATTTGTGGCATTAGCATTATTAGCATTAGCATTAGCCCCGCGCACCAATGGAGAGAGAATAACTTATGGCAACACAAAAAAAAAATGGGAGCGGTGGAGTGATGAGGAGGTGTCGGCGTTCTGGCGATTTACTCGGAAGGCTTCAGTAGAAGCTGCTGGGAGTCCCCAACTCCGGGGACTTCCGGCCAGGGACTTCGGGTGGCAGTATACGCCGTGAAGTTGTTTGCGGGCTGCCAGTAAACCCAAAGCAGAAGAAGAAGAAGTGACGTCAGCGGCTTCATTTGCGTAATCTTCCCTCAGGGAACTTATTCCGGTGTGAACGCGATCTGTACTTAGTTCCATGGGGGTACTAAGTGCCGGGCACTAAGTGCCGGCACTAAGTACGGCAAAGTATTTGGTGTGAAAGCGGCTATTAGTACCAAAGTATGTTTCCCAGGACGTTGAGGGCATCCCAATACAGGAAACTCTGCAATACAAATAATACTGAAATGCAGCATGGCTATAAAACACGCTTTACCCATACAGCTGTACTGTAACTGTTACATGAGCACGTACATGCACACGCCTGTGCAGAGATGAACTTTTGATGACCGCCTGTGTAACCTCATTGGCTGTCCTTCAACAGAAAAACAACCCCACCAGCAGCAACAAAGCACCACCAACCTCCAACAATGGCATAATCACTGAAACCCCAATGTGTAATTATCTTACTATTATTTTCTTTCTTTTTTTGGCCAAGCGTCCGTTTGGCAAGCCAACATTTAAATGCTTTTGATTCTGCTCCAAAATAGGGAATCCACAAATAGACCAAAGGCAAAGTGTCTGTTTTAGAAAGACACGAGACAAACTTAAGCATAATTCATCTCAAGTTTGGAGGTTTGCAAAGCCATATAACTATAAGCGTAT